TGTCGATCTGGGGAAAGTCAGCAAATTTGACCAGCTATAATCCAATGAGTATGACTCAGGGCGTTTTGCTTCGCAAAGCTAAGAGGTCCTTACTCAACCGGAAGCTTGTCCGTATGCTGTCAAGCTGTTTCGGCGTATATACCCGAAAGATCAAGGGAGTTGGTAATCTGTAGCTTCCCGAATTGAAGTCCTATAGTATTCTGATGACTCCTATATTCATTGATAGACAGCAAGCTTCTCTTTGTGTACAAAAACAGTCAATCGCATGCGCACGGGACAATAATCTCCTTGGGAAACTAGGGCGGTCAATGATGAATTGCAGAAAATGTAGAGGCTCAGGCGGTGTGGGGTACAGGCGGAGAGGAGATTGGGGGGCACCGCCTGGCAGAAAAAAAAATATGACCACACAATTTGATCGTCGTGTGTACTTCGATAAGCCAGCCCAAAATACTCATTTTAAGTTTTTGGTTTATCTGAAGAATTACCAGCCATGCCAAAGGTATCGAGCTCCCGTGCTGCGGCAGCGGCACGCAGACACAACCCTCTTGCTGAAGATATTACTTCCGCGGGGCACCTTCGGACACAGAGCAGTAAGAAAGGCAAAGGCAAAGGCAAAGCCGACGAAAACGACGAGGATGGCGAAAATGGACAGCGCTATGTCGATGCGAAGATGTCGCGCAAGATTCTACAGATTGGACAGGAATTGGCCGATGAAGATGCTGCCGAACAACTCAAGAACTCAGCACGGCCCCAGTCGAGTGCATTCGAATTCGATACCCGGTTCGAGGACGAGGAAGAGCCTTTCTCCGACGACGAGGGGAAGTTTGAGACCGACGATTGGGTCGATGACGATGTTGAGCAAGTTGTAAGACTTCCGAAACCTTGAATTGTGATATAGCTTCTAACATTTTACTAGGAGGTCGATCCCAATGATCTAGATATGTTCAACCGATTCATGCCCCACGAGGAGGACCCTATATTTCACCCCAAGGATCCCAGCTCCGCTGGCCCCACTAATCTCGCCGATTTGATTCTCGAGAAGATTGCCGAGCACGAGGCTAAGCAGGCTGGCGATGGCTCCTATGGTCAATACATCCAAGGTGGTGGTGTCCCCGAGGATGCAGTCCAGATTCCTGCCAAGGCCGTGGAAGTATATGAGAAGTATGTTTAGTGATCATTCCTTGTGAGGCCAAGCTAACTTGTTCTAGGGTTGGGATGATTCTTTCTCGCTACAAGTCTGGCCCGCTCCCCAAGCCCATCAAGATCCTTCCTTCTGTACCGAACTGGCAGACCCTTCTGGATATCACCCGCCCAGAGTCATGGACCGGTAACGCCGTCTTCGCTGTAACCCGTATTTTCATTTCGTCCAAGCCTGCAGTTGCCCAGGAGTTCATCAACACTGTGCTTTTGGAGCGCGTGCGCGAAGAAATCCACGAAACCAAAAAGTTGAACATCCACACCTACAATGCGCTGCGCAAGGCCCTGTACAAGCCCGCATGCTTCTTCAAGGGACTTTTGTTCCCGCTCGTGTCCACCGGCACTTGCACCCTGCGTGAAGCACACATTGTCTCTTCTGTGATTGCCCGCGTCTCGGTTCCCGTGCTACACTCCGCCGCCGCCCTGCTCCGCATGTGTGATCTGGCCGCGGAACAGTCGTTGACCTCTATTGAAAGCACTGGTGCTGTCAACATGTTCATCCGCGTCTTCCTAGAGAAGAAGTACGCCCTGCCGTACAAGGTCATTGACGCCCTGGTCTTCCACTTCATGCGTTTCCGCGCCCTCGATCCTTCGGCCGATGCCATGAATGAGGTCGGTTCCAAGGCATACCGGCTGCCCGTTCTCTGGCACCAGTCGCTTCTGGTCTTTGCACAGCGTTATCGTAACGACATCACCGAGGACCAGCGTGAAGCGCTTCTCGATTTGCTTCTCGTCCGTGGACACAAGGACATTGGACCTGAAGTACGACGTGAACTGCTTGCTGGCCGCGGACGTGGTGTGGTGGTCCCCGACCCGGATGCGCAGAATGCTCTCGATGCTGGCGACGACACGATGGATATGTCCATGTAGATACTTTACCCCGGCACATGTTTGCTTACGATATTGTCATGAGCACGTTTCTATGGGATGGCGTTTTTTTTGTTTGAGGGACTGCATATAATTCCCCTGGTGTCGAAGGTTTCCAAAATGGGATGACAACACCGATCACTGAATTTAGTGTACGGAGTATTTAGAATATATCGTTATCTTTTCAGTTTTGCAGCAAATGGTCAGGTTCCACGGTTACCCCTATAACTGACTTCCGAGGCCAACCCTAAATAGTAACGGAGGGGCAGTGTGTGCCCGTTTCAGCCCTCGACATACCTTGTAGACGTTCTGCCGTGTTCGAGATGGTTCCGTAGCATCCGCCTGCTGATTTCCGCCAATCTAGATGGCATTGGCCCCTTATCCATGGATTTACATAATCATAGAGTCACATTTCTCAATCAGGGGGGACGGAGAATTAACGGGGCGGGGAGTCGGGGACAGCCTTGATCTGCGAAAGACCTGTGATTGGCGTGGGGATGGGGCATTCTCCGGCAATCCTGATCGCGTCTTCAGATTCAGGAGAGCGTATCCATAGGTCCACCCTAGATTGTTCGAGACTGTGTGATATGGGATCATTCGTACGGAGTATTGTGGGACAGACGTATCATGATTCAGATAGATCGAGTCGGAGGGACTGGATGTGTGTTGTATTACCCGACAGGAGATGAATACGAAGTACATAAAAGTACATAATACGGAGTACATAACTAACTATTACTCCGTAGCAAGTGTATGCAACCCAAATATAGAAGTCGAGATAGACAACACGTGACTGAAGTCACCAAGTGTACGGAGTACGGAGTCCCCGTCGGGTTCTCCATACGGAGCTCCGTAAACGCAATGTTTCAACACGGCACATCATGATTGGCTGTCGCCCGGGGCCGAACCATGGAATGCAGGGGGAAATGAACGTAATTTACGTGTCTCGTCACAGAAACTCCGCCCCTTTGGAGGTACTTGGGCGCACATGCGAAAATGTATGGTGTCGCTTGTACCTGACATACGTGTGTTGGCCAGGTTCCAAGGTTCCCCCCCCTTTGTTGCCATCGCCCCCAGCCCATCCCTTTCAGACCACGCTGGCCTCTACTTAAACCTCATCGCTCCCCTCCGTTTGCAGTTGAACAGCTGTCCTTTCCATTCTTTCCTCTCTCTTTGCTGACTCACCCTCTGACTCAACCCTATTCCCGGAGTCTGGTCTCCGGTGCCGATCGTGATAATAACGTGGCCTTTGTGATCTGAACTTCCTCTTTTCACCCAAGTCACTATACGTCTGCCTACTGCAATTATTATTCACGTCCGGCACCGGTTATCCATTTGACTCTGTCACCATGGCGGATACTATCAACCCAATGGATACCCTCCCAACCTCCCCATGTCCCGAGATGTACACAGTTTCCCCCGCGGATACATCATTAGACTCTCCGGAGCCGGAAGATGACATTAAGGAAGAAGATGATGAGAAGAAGCCAACAAAGAAGAGAAAGTCTTGGGGACAAGAACTCCCAACCCCCAAAACCAACCTACCTCCCAGGTATGTTGTCCATCCTTGCGTAAATGTGAACCCAACTGACTCTTTTAGAAAACGCGCCAAAACAGATGATGAGAAGGAGCAGCGTCGGATAGAACGGGTCCTTCGAAACCGTGCTGCTGCTCAAACATCACGCGAGCGCAAGCGTCTCGAAATGGAGAAGCTGGAGACTGAAAAGATCCGCATGGAGCAACAGAACCAGTTCCTGATCCAGCGTCTATCGCAGATGGAGTCGGAGAACAACCGCTTGAGCCAACAAGTGGCCAAGCTCTCCGCCGAGGTCCGTGGATCTCGCAGCGTGACTCCCAAAGCCAGCTCTCCGGCCATCGAATCTCCCACCCTCACGCCTACCCTCTTCAAACAAGAAGGCGACGAACTCCCTATGGAACGGATTCCTTTCCCCACTCCATCCGTCACCGACTACTCTCCCACCTTCACACCTTCCACTCTGGCTGAGGCCTCCGACGTGACACAACATCCTGCAGCGGTGTTGTGTGACCTGCAGTGTCCGTCGCTGGCCTCGAAGGATCTGGAAGCGCCCTACCCCTCTTCGACCTCTCCGAACCTCAAACTGCACATGATGTTGCAGCTCCTCTTTCTGACGATGACTTCCGCCGCCTGTTCCACGGTGATTCACCCGCTGAGCCAAATCCTTCTTTCCCTGAAGACGGGTTCGCCTTTGACGTTCTCGACGGCGGAGATCTATCAGCATTTCCCTTTGATTCTATGGTTGATTTCGACCCCGAGTCTGTCGTCCTCGAAGGTGTCCAACCGACCGGTCTTTCGGATGAGACTTCTCACCAGACTACTAGCTTGCAGCCCAGCCTTGGCGCGTCCGCTTCGAGATGCGACGGGCAGAGCATTGCAGCTAGCGGTTAGTGAGACTTTCTCCCGACAGACCTGGTCGGCTGGCGCCTCGGAGGCTCGACCGAGTTGGGAGTCGTTATTAACCATGGCCTGGGCAATCGATAGTCTCAGCCTGTCTAAACGGCAGCAGCGGGGAAACACAATGAAATTTAGTCGGCAACGCAGTAATGGAAAGATGCATCGAGGTACACGGAGTTTTCGGAGTTCCAGCGCGAGCAAAGCTCTTTCGTCTTTGCTCATGGGCAAACAGCGCTGAGGGTTCCATTTTTGGCCTGTATAATAGTTTTTATAATGCAAAATCGACTGGCTCATCTTGCAATCTTTCGAACGTAGATAGTAATTATCCTAAATCGGCAAAGTAGCCTTGATTTAATCAGTCTAGGAGGCTTGTGCTAAGAATACTCGACCTCCGACGCTAAGAATACACTGAATGCGGTCAGTGACGTTGCCACGCGCCCCCAAATCCATCTGCCTTCCACAACACCTATCCTCATCCTCTATATTATCTATAACCGACATCATGGTTCGCAAAGACCCTATCTTCGAAGCCCGCACAAATGTCAAGGTGAGTTGCCTCCGCGCACTCTGTTCCCCCTCACACCGTGCATGACCCCGCCCATGCATGAAACCAGCTAATCTTCCCCAGCTACACTCCAACCGACTAAAGAAAGAAGCCATCCGGGCCGAGGCGACCTTCAAATCCGAAAAGGCCAAAGCCGACAAGGCGATGAAAAACCGCGAGTTCCAAATCGCCCGCATCCACGCCGCCTCCGCCGTGCGAGAGAAGCGACGCCAAGTAACGCTCAAATCCGAAGCCGCACGCGCCGATGTCATCATCAATGAACTCAAGGCCGCCCAGAGCACGCGCGACACATCCCGCACGCTCGCTATGGCGTCGCGGGGCCTGGACGCTGCCTCGCGGAGCGTCAACCTCGAACACCTCGTCTCGCACGCTAACAACTTCCTCGCCCGGTCGGAGGACTTCAAGATCGCGAGTAGTGCGATCGAGGATGTCGCACAGGGTATATCGATGCAGGAATACGGTGCGGAGGGCGAGGCTGATGTGGATCGGCTTATGGAACAGCTGGCTGATGATGCGGGTGTTGATATGCGCTTGAACCTTGAGGCGGATGCTGCGCCTAAGGAGGAGGTTAAGGAGCCTAAGCAGGTGGATGCCGAGGCCGAGGATGGTTTAGGTGCCAGGCTACGGGCTTTACGGGCTGCTAATTGAGCAAATCAGTTATGCTTTCTTTTCCTCCTGGGTACCTCCGGATTTACGGGACTGTCAATCCCCTATATAGATTTCCTCGCGATCTCTGGACTTTGCAACACTGACGATCCACGAAGTTACGCTTGTATTTTCTGCGCTGTTCGTATTCAACGAAGATTTTTTTTTTCATGCATGGGCTAGTCCAATTTTGTGTGCTTTCCATGCTAACCTTGGGACAAAAGTCCAAAAAAAGACCAGTCCGTGAGGCGAAAAGGCTAGGGTCCAGGGACTAGATCGTAAACAGACTAGAACCTCCACTTCGCTCTGGCAATTGAGGAACATCGCCAATCACATCGGGGCATCTGCCTACTCTAAAGCAGGCTTAGGCGACAACAGCGCCCCCAAATGACCAGAAAAATTCAGGGTCTTTCAGAGGCGCTATTAACGTTTTTTTTTATTAAAGCGATGGATCCCTCGTTTGTGACTGTTTTCCCTGCAAAGTCCCAGGACCACTCAAGATGGCGCCTTCACACTCGTTTATTCTTTTCTTGTCATTCGTTTTGACCTGCGTTCAGGCTGCCCCTTGGATCGTGACGGAGGTCTACGAGCAAGACGTTACTACTGATTACTATTCCGAGGTGGTCACCGAGGTCCATGAAATTACTCCAACTGCAACTTTGCCAGCTGAGGCCCTGTCCACCATTACCTCCACCGATACCATCTATGACTACACCGTTGTCGAAAAGCTGTATCCCACCGGCTATGGCACGGCGCTTGGCTTCGACGCCGGCTACGACACCGTGGATAGTGACGGAAACTACCACAGCACCATCTACCGGGTCAACCTGACTTTCTCAGCCCCGACAGCCTGCTCCACTCAATGGACCATCACGACCGCTGCCGCCGTCACCCCGCCCTATGAGATCGCCGCCTTGCTGCCCAGGGATAATGTAATAACCTCGACCTCGGTCGACAGCGCCCAGCCATTCCAGACCACCACCTACATCTACGAAATAGTATTCGTGGAACCCACCCAGATCCCCAGCCCAACCCTGAGCTCTCTGAGCTCCTACAACGCCCCTACCTCGCGATACATAGGTAGCAAATGCCAGTACACCGACAGCAGCGACTACAGCGGCAACTCCGGATACTACACCGGCCTGTCCAGCGGACCAGGAACCACCGGCTACAGCGGCGGATCATCTGGCTACTACGACTACGACGACGACTACAACTGGTTCACCAGCACATGGGGATCCGACGTCGGCATCTCCTACCTCGCAATCGTCCTGATCTGTGCACTGGGCTGGATCGGCATTGTCTTCATCTTGGGCATGATCGAGGCCTGGGTGCGCTTCCGTCGTCTCATGACGGGCTGGCAGACCCGCCGGGGCTTCCCTCTTTTCTGGTCTTTCATTCTGCTCCCGCTTTCCCTTTTCTGTCTGTTTTGTTTCCGGAAGGGCTACCGCGCCCGTAGCAAAGAGGACGCTGTGATCCTTAAGAAGAGGTGGGATGCCATGGGTTTCTGGACGAAGATGCGCTTGTTCTTCGCTTGGGGTTTCCGCTTCAAGTACCCGACTGTCTTGGGCCCGGCTCCTGCCACCGTTAAGGCGAGTAAGAGGCCTGATGAGTCGGGTCCGCGTCTGTTGGACGTTACTCCCCCCGGTACTAGTGCGCCGTCGCGAGCTGCGTCGACGGAGGTTGCGCCCGCTGCTGGTCCGGAGATGGCTCAGGCTCCAGCTCAGCCTCATGTTGCTCCGCAGGCTTCTGGTGCTCTTCCGGGCCATGATGTGGAGGCTGGTCCAGCTCACTAGGCTTCATTCGGATGATATGTGATCGTTTGTTATGTTGATTCGGATCTATATGCACTGTCGTTTTAAGTCATGGAAATACCAACGGTCTTGTTTTCGAGCTTGTATTTAGCTACTAATCTTTAATTGATACCACCCACTCGTTATGACATGCGTACATAGCCATTGCAAAAATCAAGATATCATCTCGAGCTAGTTACAGCCCACGATAATGATCCAGTGAATATCTATCAATGCCACTATCAATATACACATAATCGAATTGGGAAACAAGACATAACGTTGTTAAAATATATAGTACCTCTGTTGTACACTACGTAGTGAGTCGCTAAAAGCGAAAATTCATCCGCACCAAATTAAAAACATTAATTGATCCAATCAATATGCTCTTCCATCAACAAACCCCAAAAAGAAAAGAGCAAAAAAGAAATCTCAGGTTTGGTTTTAGGAATAGCCGAACGCGGGGGTCGAACCCGCAGCCTTAAGATTAAGAGTCTTACGCTCTACCGATTGAGCTAGCCCGGCCGGGCTGTTAGAATAGGCAGCCCTATTACGCTACATGAGCCAAAACCACCGATCGCGAATTGTTCCCGACTTCCCGTATCTCCTTTAGTGTCCATGACTTCAGTCAAAACACTTATTCATGGAGCTCGAGTCGGCAGGTCCAACCTCTAGCCAACATGGAAAACAAGCCGCATGCTTAAACTGTCGACGGAGCAAAATCCGCTGCAACCGCCAGGCAGGCGAGTCCAGCTGCGAGAAATGTAAGCAAACCAATGCGGAGTGTATTGTGCCCAACCATCATCTGGGTCGACAAAAGGGTGTCAAAAAGTGAGTCGGGTCACGTAAGGTTGTGGAGTATAATACTGACTGGAGCTTAGCAAACGAAAAGGCCTGGAGAAAGCGATACATCAGATCGAGCAGGCAATCAAGCGGCCGAAGGTCGACTCTGCTAGTGACGATGAGGCCCAAAGAGCCATTTCGGTCCTCCAGGATCTCCTCGGTCAAGCCCGGGGCCAGTTAATGCAAAATGAGCATGAGCATGAGCGTCGCTTTTCAGAGACATCAGATCACCCGCGCATGACGTCTCCGCGTGATATTCAAGCGGAGGATGGTCTTACTCTGGATGATGCGGAAAATCCTCTGCAGCTGCTTGCTAGAGCTTCGAATCTTCAGATTTCGCCGGTTGGGACGCGGCGTGCGCCAGTATCTCCACTGCCGTTGTCAGAGGGCCCGTCATTATATCAGAACACTTCCCAGGGAGAACAGGCCGCCAAATCCTTTTTTGTTCCCGCGGGAGCGAATCTAGATGTTGGACCTGATATGGATCCTATTGGGTTGGGCTTGGTCACATTTGATGAGTCGGAGTCCTTATTCTCGTTGTAAGTAGTCTGGTTTCTATTGTTAAACATATCTAAATGATAACTGACAAACCAAGCTTCTATCAACATCTCGCACATACTCGATGGGGCCTCGATCCCTTGATACACACCCCATCCTTTGTGCGGTCCCAGTCGGCTTTTCTATTTACTTCGATAATGGCAGGCGCAGCCCTATTTTTGCCGTCTGCGTCTGCCTTATCTAAGAGGTTATCGCGGCATTGCAAATGGCTTGCAAAGCGAGTGATCACACAACGCTATAAGTCCGTTGAGATTGTTCTGGCTTTCATGGTGAACGTTCCATGGATGTCTCCAGGTGACAGACTAGGAGACGATGATACTTGCTCCTATATTGCCATGGCTCTCACTGTTGCTCTAGACTTATCTTTGAACAAGATTATCTCGCCTTCTTCGAGCTTTGACCAAGAACTTATGAATCGCCTGGCGCGAGCAGAGTGCGTCGACGCTAAGAGGGCTTTACACATGGATGGATTCCATGACATTGACCCGTGTTCAGAATGGGGCGTCAGGCTGCTGCGAAGACGCGAAAGAGCTTGGATTGCGTTGTATGTTGTTGAGAGAGGGTACGTTTGATTTTCCCAGTGGTGCATTTGGGTCTGACACTAACTTTCTCAGTGTTTGTCTTGCGCGTGGACGAAGCTATACGGTCCCTTCAACAACGCTCATCGAAAACTGCGATCGTTGGCACCTTTCCAACATTGCAGACCCGCGTGACGGTCCTATGAGTTCCGTGGCAGTTCTTCGAAGGGACCTTGTAGGTGCCATCCCGAGTCTCAAAATCCATCACAGATACCCGTATCAGGCTATTAATTCCACTCTAACGATTTCAGGATGGACTATTTCAGAACGTTAAATCAAGCTGTGATAATTATCACATCGTTGATACCGGCTCGGAGGCTGCTCAGTCGTATGGTATTATGTCTTGATGAATATCATTTATATACTGACCATATCACAGGATCAAGAAAACCATTCAAACTTTCTACGAGAGGTGGTATGCAACATGGGCCTTGTCAATTGGGGAAGGAGACAGTAAGCATAATACCAGACATTGATTGACTCATTATTAACTATTCAAAGCACGCTCTCTACCCCCCTACGTCGAGATTCTTGTCACGCATACTCAATTATCCACATACGGTGGTGTCATCAACCACCGAACAGCTCCAATCGAAGTGAAACGTTTCTTCCGAGCCGCCGGTCTATCATCTGCACTGAACGTCCTACGAGCAGCCATCCAGGGCGAATCTCGCCTGAAATCAATGCCAAACAACACCGTCATAATGATCTCCTTCGCCGCCTGCTCCGCCCTCAGCCTCAGCGTAACACCCGGCGACAGCAAATCCGGTCTAGCACCAAGCGTCCGAAACCTCATCGAAGAGACAGCCGGCGTCCTAGAGAGAATCGGCGCAACACCAAGTCACCGAAGCGGCGCCTCCGTGCTGTACGGGAGATTCCTGCGTGAGTTGATCCGGCGCGCACCAGCCTTCCCTCTCCAATCCCGAGGAAATCTAGGCGAAGTTCATCCATCCGAGGCATTTCAGTCTGCATGTCTGGATGATCGTCCGCTGCCAGTGGCAATACCTGAGGACCTCTGGTTTGAGCCTTTGCAGTTCTCTGCTATGTCTGATGATCAGATCGTCGATGCAGTCAATCGGGCGGGCACGGCGTTTGGTGCGTCGATCCCGGATGTGCCTCTTGATGATATGCTTAATTGGGATTGGCTCGACTCTGCCAATGCGGATTTCAATCTTCAGTAGTTTCTCTTGCCTTGATCTGATCAGACATTGGTTTTCTGAACGTATTCTTATTAGCGGCTTCAATATATATCTTGATACCCTTTTGTTTAGCATATCATCCTTGAGGGCCATTTTGGCCAACGTCATCGTCCCCTCTCCGAAGTATGAAGGAGTCACATCTTCAACCATACGATGTTTTATACACAATCCCTACTGTGATCAATTGGCGTAAAAATTACAGTTGAAACGCGCAAACCTCACAAATGAATCAAAAGAGCTTGAGTCTAAACCTGAGAGGCCTAAGGAAGGCCATGTCGCGCCCATCTCTACAATGGTTTCCAATGCGGGTCCTTTGACAGAGCAGAGTAATGTCGGCAACGTGCGGGTATCTAGGGGAAGCTGAGGTTGTTCAAGAAGTAGTGGGCCGATTAAGGGTCTGTTGATATTGATGTTTAGTGGATACATATGACGTCATAGATAATACACACGGGGAACCTTCGGAGGCGCTCGGCATCTAGAAGTAGCCCCGACCAATGCCGTCGATGATATAACAACGCGATGATTTCATTTTTGCCTTCTCTCTTCTTTCTTTAGATCTAAACAATTACAAGCTATGTCGGCTCTTAGGATATCTACTACTTTGTCGCGTAAAGCGCTCACTGCGTGTCGACCGCGACTGTTCATTGGTGTCCGCGCCAGCGTGCGCCCCCTGCAGCCATTCAGCACCAGCACCACTAGATACTCCCTAACCACACCATCAGCACCTCTCGCTCCTAAGATCGATCGCAGCCGCTCAAAGCTATACAAAGATGCCGATGCCGCTGTTGCCGATATCAAGAGTGGATCGACGATCCTTAGCTCTGGGTTCGGTCTTTGCGGAGTCGCCGGTATGTGGATGAATAAATAACCGGCGTGAGAATTACAGAGCTGATATGCAGTGTAGAAACCATCATCAATGCTATGCACCGTCGGGGCGCTGATCAATTGCACTCCCTGACGGCCATTTCTAACAATGCCGGTTCCGCGGCGGGAGGCCTTTCGATACTCTCGAAGAATGGCCAGATCAACCGTCTGATCCTTTCATACCTCGGGAACAATAAGGCGTTGGAGAAGAAGTACTTGACGGGACATACGGCTATTGAGCTCTGTCCGCAGGGCACTTTGGCTGAACGTCTTCGTGCTGGGGGTGCTGGCATTCCGGCTTTCTATACTCCAACTGGTGCCCGTATGTATAGCTTCTCTTCTGGTTCTAGATATTAGTCGCTGACAAGACAAGACACTTTTATTCAGGAGGGGAAAATTCCCGTTCGCATGGATGAGTCTGGTAAAGTTCTGGAGTCTGGCAAGGCGCGCGAGACCCGAGAGTTCAACGGCAAGACATATCTCATGGAAGAAGCCTTGACCGGAGATGTAGCTATTCTCAGAGCCTGGAAAGTGGACGAGGCTGGTAACTGCGTATTCCGGTGAGTTTCAGTACCTGTCTGTGTCCTAGAATGGATACTAACATTGATTAGATATACTACCAAAGCATTTGGCCCTATCATGGCCAAAGCCGCAACACTGACCATTGTGGAGGCTGAGAACATCGTCCCAGTTGGCGCTATTGATGCTAATGACGTGGACCTACCGGGTATCTACGTGGATCGGATCGTTCCTGCCACAGACGAAAAGCACATTGAAAACAAGAAGTTGCGCCAGGAGCCCTCTGTAGCTGGGCCTACTAAAAGTGCGGCTCAGCTTCAAAGAGATCTGATTGCTCGTCGGGCGGCTAAGGAGCTTAAGCCAGGATTCTATGTGAATCTGGGCGTTGGTATTCCTACGTTGGCACCATCGTTCCTACCCAAGGACGTGAAGGTTTGGATTC